GTCCGTAGCTCAGTTACAGGACAACTGAGACAGTAGTACTCTGCCTAAGCTTCACAGTGCTCGTTCCCCAACCCCTCGCTACATTCCCTCTTACACACTGTTCTTACAGGTTTATGGTTGAGGTGGGAACTGGGGGAACTGGGTGCTAGCTGTCACCACTGCTGTGGCAGCAGAGGACCAAGTTCTCTGAATAGAAGGAAGAAGCAGTGTCCTCAAGGATTTACACCAGAATGGCCAGGAGGAAGCATGCCGAACAGAGTTCTTAGGACACTTGAGTCACTCTCTAGTCTCCTGCTAAATTGTAAGAGCAAAAAGAAGGTCTGGTTACAAGGCTCGATTCTGCTGTTACGACTCAGGTTAACTCAGCCTATATATTGTTGGATTTAATTTTTATGACTGGGAGAGGATAGTAGGGAAGGGGAAGAGAATGAGATGTGATATGTCATCTCATAAAAGCTTATTTCATAGCAGAAATATCTATAGACCGTTGTTGTATTGCCTTTTGCATATTGTGCTTGGGGCTGGTTTTCCCATGCACCATGTCCTGATTACATTCTGGCAATAGGGCTTCCTCATCTGCTGAAGCAAAGAGAACTCAACGGAGACCTCAGGTTCCTCAGCTGTCCTCTTCTTATGTGTCCTTCTGAGAACTCTCTTTGACTGTTTCATTGGACTCTACTTAGCTACCCACTCCTCCCACCTCTTCCTAGTTTTCAGCAGCAAATATGGCTGTTTTAAGTTTCTAAGTGACACAAGTTCCTCATGTTGGGTAAGGAGCCCAAAAGCCTGAGAACTCTTCAACTCTAGGTTCCTGACCACAGGCTTCCTCTGTTGGTCTTAGTTCAATCAGAAAAGAAAGTATATGCTTTTTTTAAGGTTTACAATCTAAGGAGAATAACTTGTTTCGTTGTATTTTTATGTATGTGTGTGTTCCTGTGTGAATGTACCGCCTGTGAGTACACTGCCCATAGAAGCAAGAGGGGATTGGATCCCTGGATCTGGAGCTTGATGTGTGCTGGAGACTGAACGCTGGTCCTCTACTCATCTAGAAGGGAGAGCTCCTGTCAGGTTAGCTACCTTTGATAGAAAACTGTTTCTCATAACGTCTCGCTAGGCCAGATCTTAGTAGATGATGTTGGTGTAGCAATAGAATAGGATGTGCTGCCATAAGATAGATAGCAGGTATCCCAAGGGCTTAGGTAAGAGTCTCCAAGGGGCCACTCCCCAACACATGCCCATCTCCTACTTGTATCTTGCAGAACTTTGAGAAGAATGGATACTACTGATTACTGGGGTACCATGGGAGCCTAACACATTGGAAATGCTGTTGGTTGAGATTCCCTGCAGGAGCAAGACAATGGAGAAGCCAAACATTCTATAGGAGTCTGTGACTGCTCTCTGCAGGCCCAGGGAACCAAACCCTGAGGCTTCCCTCCAGTGCCCTCTACTGACACAAGTTGAGTGCTGCTTTAGCATGCTAAGATGTAGGGAACCAGTGTTCAGCAGTGTTTCACCTCCCAGAAGGAAGTGAGTTGCCAGGATCATAGAATACCCTCTGGAAAGAGGGAAAGAGGCTGGGTGGTGGTGGTGCACGCCTTTAATCTCAGCACTTGGGAAGCAGAGGCAGGCAGATTTCTGAGTTCGAGGCCAGCCTGGTCTACAGAGTGAGTTCCAGGACAGCCAGGGCTACACAGAGAAACCCTGTCTCAAAAAACAAAAAAAAAAAAAAGAGGGAAAGAATTGAACAAAGACCCTCATAACCATGTGACCTGGTTTCAGAGGTCAGAACAAAGGGTATTTAAATCTTAAAGAATCTTACAGAGGCTGCAGCCCAGGCTGTGAACTGGCTGTCAGTATAGTTGCACCGTCTGGTCAACATCAGACTCCTGGGCTCTTGTTAAGTCCTTTCCACACCATCTTTTATGACATCTGAGTTGTGGCAGCTAAAATAATTATTTGCCTTTCTCTGTTCATCACAAAATTTGAAGCTCATGAAGGGAAGGTACCATTTTGACTTTAGCAAAAAAGTTTTTTCAGTTTCTCTGATTCTGGTAGATGTATTCTGTATCAAGAAAGTGACTGAAAATGAGAGATCTATGGATATAAAAGGAAAGACCTTTGATTTGAGTGAAGTGTTTTGCTTCTGTCCTTCTATACTGAAATTTTCATGGTTCTCTTTTTTTCTTATCAGTGAAGTAGGTCTCAGATTAAGTTTAGTCAAGAATAAAAACTCCCACTAACTTCCTGTCCCAGTATAGCTGGCAGTTGTGTTCAGTGAGAAAGCTCTGCTGAGTCAGAACTAAAATAAGAATGTACCTTAGAGCCTGACAGGCGCTGCTGCTGGGCACCACATCCATATAAAGAGCTCCTGCATGTGCCAAAAGGTTTCCCTGGTAACTTGGGCATCTCTTAGGTCAACATAGCTAAAAATACTGTTCTTCTGTATTTGGAGCTTTCTCAAATGTGGCTTTGTATCTTTCTAAAAAGATGTTTAGAGGTGATATTATGTTAATTCATCATGATAGGAATTAAAAGACATTATGAGCAGAAAAGTTTCTAGGAAAAATATTTTAAAAATCACAGCAAAGCCTCCTAACCTCTGAGGGAAATATACATAATTGTTTAAGTTGATCCAAATTTGTGTGGGGCCTCAGGAGTTCACTGCAGTGATTGTAGTTAAGGGAAGCTGTCTCTTAAGCATGATCTTGCTAAAGACCTTTAACTGTATGGGTGTCAGCAGGGGTGGGGTGGTACACGACAGTGTTGTCCCTCTGCTTCTTAGCAGAAGGCTTGATGGAATACTGAGGGGTGCTCAGAGTCATTCACCAATAGACAGAGACTAAGAGATCCAGCTTTGAGGCATTTGCATGCAGAACTCAGTGTTCGGTTTCTCTAAAGTCAAGCTCATTGAATAGGATTTGGAGGTTCTAGCTGAGGAGAATAATAGTGATTCTATGACAGTTATACATTTTCTCTAGAGTATATAAAGCATTGTTGGGTGACAGGGAAGTGCAAATCCAACTTACAAAATGAAATGTGCAGGCTACTCATCCTGCCCCGGCCTACCAGTTGTTCCTGACATTTCTCAGTGTTCTGCCATTAATGGTTTTGATTTTTTCTACACATTGTGAAAAGGAGCTCATCTCCTTTTCACAGTAGGTTACTGGTATGGTAAGGACGTGTCATCATAGAGAAAAGGCAGTTGTTTGGCACTATTGTCTTTGTGGAAGGGTGGATGTTGTTACTTTCTCTTTACACAATTTTCAGAATGTTAATGTCAGAGAGGGTCATGGAGAAAGAGGATAAGCTTGATTTGTTAGTCTCTCTCCTCCACTTTCCCTAGGTAGGGTATCTTACACAATCACGTCTTTTGTGGATATGATTTTATTATGTGAATCACTTAGAAATGCTTCATGAGAAATGGACCCCAAAGTAAGCTACCATTACTTGTTAAACTGGTTAGGGTTGGGTAGTTGCAGTATTGATTTGCACTATTTAGGCCAGTTTGGGGCAGAGTATTTCTGATGATGTGAAGCTGACACACATGGCTCTGTTACAGGTCCTTGGCAACCCATTGCTGCATCCTGCCTATGGTTTCGGAGTGGCCTCTCTATTCTGCAGACACCCAGAGAAGGAGTTTTGCCGCACCTGATAGTAGTAGATTTACTGTATTTGAATTATTGATTTTAGGACAAAGTGTGCATCTACTAGTCTACTTCCTGACAAGTGTCCAGCCTGTAGTTGGATAGCATCACACTCACTTCCTTATGAATATCTCTTTAAGTATCATAAGGTCTGCCGTGTGGCACCATATAACTATGACATCAAAGCTAGCTCCTTTGTATGTTTTCTTTCAATTCTTAGGAACAAATTATATGTAAATAGCCTTATATCAGGCATCCTGGCATGGGACATTGGTGGTCCAGGGTCGGCAACTGGTACTTTAATCCAGACATTTCATATCTTCATGTTTTTAAATGACTTTTTAAGCTCTCTCTTTGGGGTATATTTCACATACAAAAAAGTTACGGGCCAGCATTAGCACACACCTTTATCCTAACCCCCAGGAAGCAGAGGCAGTCGAATCTGAGTTGGAGGCCAACCTGGTCTGCAGAGTACATTCCAACAGAGAAAAACCCTGTCTCAACAAAACAACCAAATAAACCGATACAGTAAAGTCAGAGTGCTCTTATCTTTTAATAATCGCAGTAAGCAATACTAACACAGACGTAAATGGATGCACTGCTACTCAGTTTCAGCTGGGTTAAGAAAGCATATGTTAACTGCTTTTTCACTCGTCTCCATGTGGTGAATATGTTTGCCTTACACAATTAAGAAGCAATTTTAAAGACAAGGCAAAAGGCATATTAAGTGAAAATTCATTTCTACTTGACCTTTGCCTATTTCCTTATTGTCTTGAAAGAAAACATACTGCATTTGTCCTACAAACTGGAAGCGGGGAAGAGCTTTTCGTCTCCGTTCTCTGACTTGCATTGTTTTCAGTAGACCCAGGAAAATCAGATGAAATTTTCCACTTAACTCAAGTAGAGAATTACAGGGAAATAGTTCATTCTGCCAAGTAATAATTTAACTAGGCCACGCTAGTGATTTGAATACCCCCGTATGGCACCTACATCTCATAGCAGTTGAAGAGGCTTCTTCCTAGTGGTAGTTGTTGCAGAGTTCTTAGCTTAGTGATGGATTTAGAATAAATAAGCAGTTTCTAGCTCTCCCATTCCTCAGTGATCACTCACAGTGGGGTGGGGATGGTTCCAGAGCACTTCTCTACACCTCCGCCTCTGCCTGTACCATCTGCCCAGGGGATAGCAAAGTCTGTGGATGCTTGGGCCCCTTAGAAAAAGGCCTGGTTCTTGCATACAGTTTACCCAAGTCTTTCATTTTAAATCATCTCGCCAGGTGGTGGTGGTGCATGCCTTTAATCCCAGCACTTGGGAGGCAGAGGCAGGCGGATTTTTGAGTTCGAGGCCAGCCTGGTCTACAGAGTGAGTTCCAGGACAGCCAGGGTTACACAGAGAAACCTTGTCTCGAAAAACCAAAAACCAAAAAAAAAAAAAAAATCATCTCTATACTATAATTCCTAATACAGTGTGGAAGAATGGGTGAATGTAATGACATGCTAAAGCTAAACTGTTACTACAAACCCCATTTCTTTGCATTTGTGCCAGTGTGTTTGCATGTTCGTGGTGGGATGGTAGACATGTAGAAGCCTATGGCCAACCTCAGAAGTTGTCATCCTTGGTTTTCTTTTATGCATATTTGCATGTATGTGTGCATATAGGTATATAAGTGTTCCTGTCCGAACATGCATGTGGAGGTACAGAGGACTACTAGGCATCATCCTCGATTATTCTTTGACATAGGGTGGTCTCTACGGCCAGCTTACCCATACCCCTCCCTCAGTCCCTCCCTCTGTGTGTGTGTGTGTGTGCGTGTGTGTGTGTGTGTGTGTGTGTGTGTGTGCGTGTGTGTTGAGACAGTGTCTCATACCCCTGGCTGACCTGGAATTTGCTACATGAATACCAGGTTGGCTTTGAACTTGCAGAGGTCTGCCTGCCTCTGTGCTACAATTAAAAGTGTACACCTCCATGCCTGACCTGCTTATAAATCTTGTAGGAGAGGGGCAAGGCCTCGTGAACCTCTTTCACTTACATGGCAAAAAGTTTATGGACTCAGTCTTTTGCGGATCTTTTTGAAGTAATCCTGGCTGCTGGCAGTGTGAGAGAGCACTAGTCAGGTCATGCTCAGAGGACAGCATTCCACACACAGACTTTCACTGCAGTGTGGAGCTCATCAATTAGACCACCTCTGGTTGGTGGCCAGAGGCATGGCATGAGGTTGAGTCCAGCCTGAACTATGTTCACCAGCCTAGGTTTTGTAGCAAGATCCTGTCTTAATTACCTAGATTCAATCCCAGCCCTGCCTCCACCCCCAAATGATACTCTTGGCACCTCTGCTTATGAATATGTTCAAATTTCAAGTATTTAAACTCCTAGGAACAGCTGTGATGCTTTGTATGATATGTCTAAATAGGCTGTTTGGATCTTTGACCATTTGGGTACAGTCATGAAGTTAGCAGACTGGTGAAATCAGAAGCTCTACAGCTGTCTTCTGTTGTCCTGGAGTGCACTAGTGTGTAGTTTGGTCTAAACAAAACGTTAGGCACACCCACTGTCTTAGCTAGGTTTGTATTCATTGTTAAGAACTAGGACCAAAAGCAATTTGGGGAGGAAAGGGTTTATTACAGCTTGGATGTCAGAGCAGGAAGTTAAGGCAGGAAATGAAGCAGAGGCCACATACACATATGAACATCAGAGGACAACTTTTCTCTTTCCACTGTCTAGGATCTGGAAAGAAAATTGAGGTTATCAGGCTTGGCATCAAGCTCCCAATAAGCCATCTCAATAGCATATATGCATGCATGTATGTATGTATGTA